GGATCAGCTTTAAACTATGTCCATCAAACAGTCTTCACAAGGGTCCAGAGACACCCCCCCTCCCATTTCCTCTCCTCTATGAAATCCTCTCATACCTGGTTAATGCCACTCTTAGGATCATTGGTTGCTATTCTCACCCTTTTACACTGCCGTGTCTGCTTAAGTGTTTACAGAAGGTGATAATGGAACGAACCAAGGCCTTCAGCAACCAGGTGGTCATCCAAATGCTACTACAGGAATATACTTGGCGCCTCACCAAGGAGACAGCGGCTTGAGACATTGCCCCATGCCAGTGAAGAGCACCTCGTTGCCCCATGTCAGCGGGAAGTAGCTCTAAAGACAGATCATCATCCCTCTACTCCTTATGGAGTTCTGGGACTAATGTAATCCCATACAACTTCTGCTTTATAAAAAAACTAAAAGGGGGAATGTTAGTAAAATGGTAGAGTCTTATCTATGGCACGATCTACACCTTGACACCATCCTAGGCTCTAGCCCCTGCCGCCATTGCTGGAAGCCAGGTGGCTACTTGGCCCAACCACCAGTGTCAAGCTCCACCCCCATCCTAATGGGATGCGCTGCTTCTATTTCCCTGTCCGTCCCCTGGCAAAGTTTTAAAGGACCTGTTCCTAAACACATCGCTCTCTCTCCCTCTCTTCTTCTCCACCTGCTGATCTCTCTCTCTTTCTCCTGACCTCTCTCTCTCTCTCTCTCTCTCTTATGCTCTCCTTCTCCCTCTTTTCTTTCTTTGCCCCTTCCCTCCAGTATGTCAGGTTTCCCCCAATAAACTCATTCCCTTAAAAAAAAGGAATTGGTAGGCAATTTAATTGAAATAAGGGCCATAGTTCTATTTATTCACATAAGCTGAGAGACTGATGATGTGGTATTGATTTATTTTCAACACAATTAAAATGTTATATTTATAAATCACACATAAAACATTTGTTTATAGATCCTAAAGCTTTATTGTCATGGAACATAATGGTGATAGTACTGACTGGTTGACACAGTGGAATCAGTATGTTACCTTATAAAATTCTTTTCTTAATATAAAAAATAAAAACTTATTTTGCCAAATATGTCTCAAACATTTAGTCAAATAGCAACCATCTCATTCTGAATTTAGCCTGGTTGTTGCTTTGTTTATTTTGTTTTTCCAATTTACCCAATTGAATTATGAGGCCTATGAAGATGGTGGTTTTCTCTATTTTTATTATTTTTTTAACTTTTATTATATATTTCATAATGAGAGAATTCCCATCCTCTTGGCCATTCCCAACTGCTTATAACTGCCAGGGCTGGACCAGGTCAAAACCCAAGTCAGGTCTCCCAAATAAGTAGCAGGGATCCAAATACCTGAGTTTTCACCTTCTGCCTTGATAGTCTGCATTACCTGGAAACTAGAATCAGGAGTCAGAACTGGGTATTTATGCCAGATACTCCAATATGGGGTACAGGTGTTCTTAACCAACATCCTAACCATTAGACCAAATATCTGTCACACTTTCGCCAAGTATTAACCTGAAATGTCTTCAAAATTTTTTGATGTCTAACTTAGGATAAATTTTGGACAATCTAAACCTGCAAAATGAAAGTATTTGAGGCTTTCTACAAATAGACACAAACATACACCTGCTCAGTTTAGATTGCCATACCTGAAGTGTTTCTTAATTCTTCATAATTCATTGGATTTCTTTAGAAATGTAAAGAATCATAAAGATTCTCTGCACTCCAGAAGACTGAATAACACAAACACTTAACTAAAGTCTAACACTAGATCCATCACAGGAAGGATGAGACCCAGGTTAATAATTTTCTCTTAAAATAATGATTATTTTTCCACTGCTGGTCACCTAACAAGCTTAAGGCATGACTAAAATTTGTTTTGTTTTTATGGATTCTAAAGTAAATTCTCTTCATGTTGTTGCATTGTAAGCCATTCTGAGATATCAAATCTTTCAGTAGTTTGGAATTCTTATTTATATAAAAGAAATCACAAAATGATTTTTGGCCAACCTCATATAAACATTCACTTGAGGCCACTCGGTCTGTCAGCTATTCAATCTCTTCTCCAAGATTTCTGAACAGGTGGATATTCAGAAGTAGTAAAGTAAAGGCTGAAAAGGCTTCCATAGCCTTGGCAACACATGACAAGAGCCTACAGAGATTACTGAAGCCATAAACCAGAGTGTCAAATTGTTAAGTCAACAGCAGGAGTCACTGTGTACTTACTCCTCATGCAGGATCTCTGTCGTTAATGTGTTGTTCAATGTGAATCAACGCTATAACTAGTACTGAAACAGTATTTTACACTTTATGTTCTGTGTGGGTGCAAATTGATGAAATCTTTACTTAATATATACTAAATGGATCTTCTGTATGTAAAGATAATTGAAAATGAATCTTGATGTAAATGGAATGGGAGAGGGAGCGGGAGATGGGAGGGTTGTGGGTGGGAGGGAAGTTATGGGGGAGAAAAAGCCATTGTAATCCATAAACTGTACTTTGGAAATTTATATTTACTAAATAAAAGTTAAAAAAAATAAAAAAATAAAGTAAAGGTTGCGCCATACTTGTGAGATATATATATATGTGTGTGTGTGTCTGTGTGTGTGTATATATATATATATATATATAGGATTTCTTTAGAAATGTAAAGAATCATAAAGATTCTCTGCACTCCAGAAGACAGAATAAACACAAACACTTAACTAAAGTCTAACACTAGATCTATCACAGGAAGGATGAGATCCAGGTTAGTCATTAATAATATATATATAATTCTCATACTCAATTCAGATTGCAAGTACATGGCTGTCAAGGTGGATAAGAGCTTCTTACCTGCTATACAAACATGAGCAAGAGCTCTTATTATTTTCATTAATAAATTTTAGCAGTTGAATTATCTCAATAGCATTATTCTTCATCATTAAGCAATCTTTATATTCAATAATTTCTCATCTGTTATGATCTTGTTATTAAAAACAAAAAGGACCTTTAAGAAATAAAACAATAATCCTCTATTTGTGGTAATAAAACAAGCACTAGATTTATAGTCAGAAGATCTACTCTGCTACTTTGTGGCCATGGGGTAGTTGTTTAAGTTCCCTTGCCTGTTTCTTCATCCATAAAATAAGCATAATACCATTTACCTTATAGGGTTTTTGTTGAAATTTAAATCAGATAGTTCATAATCTGTCTTCTACTCTACTTTTCAACCTTTATATCTGGCCACTTTCTCTACTTGTATCTCATGTTCCAGTCACACTACACTCCCTGAGGTTCTCTAAAGGCATCATCTTTTCTCTTCCCCTTTTGTTTGAACAACTTATTTTTCTGTATAATAGGTCATAATTTGTCAAGACTTGAGGAACCCTTCCCATGAACACTGCTAAGCTGAAACACCTATGCTGTAGGCTCCAAGATCAACCTGTACAAATCTCTGTCCTAATATTTATATATTTATTAGTCTAGCTTCCTGACCACACTCTACATTCCTTGACTACCTAAAATGTCTTCCTTCTTTTCAATATCATGTGTACTCAGCATATGATAACCCATAATATAAAATAAACCAACCATCTGAGTGATTAAATGAATGCATGGCTTATACAAAAGAACTGAGCTTAGTTGTTTGTGATGGATCAGGGATCCAATTTTGGTTAACTGAATCTGAAATTTAAACTCTTAGTGAAGATGGACCTGCTGCTCACCATATCACTTCATTTGTGTGATTTAAACTTCTAAACAATAACTTCTAGTGGTCCTGAGACACATGTTATAAGGAGAATGAAAAACATCATCAAATGATTGCTACATGTGGTCAGCACACCCTGCTAAGGATATTTTTTCTTGTTTGTATAAAGCTAGCATCAAGGTCTTTCAGTTACAAATCCCATGAAACAGGCAAACTGACATATAAGACTTCAGTATACTACAAAGCTGAACTGTAAGCCTGCTTTTCTCAATTTTCAATGTAGTCATTGAATCCAATTACTTAGCAGCAGTACTTGAAGGGCAACATGCACTTCCTAATATGGTCATTTTGATTCTTTATTAAAATAATTGTATCATCATGGTCAGAAAGTACATGTTATGTTCAGAATAACAGCAAAGACACAGAAAGAAAATTGATTCTAAACTGTCATTTTCTGTAGCTAAAAATTACAGAGCAAACTACAACCAACTTGTTATAAGTTATAATTATAAGCATTTAAAAAGAACAAAAATAGCAATAAAACAAGAAGCAAAACAAAACAAAAAACCCTATGAGTGAATCATAGTACTTCCATTTATAAACAAACGCATCTCTGAGATTCTTGAGTTAGCAAAACGCTTGACAAAAGTAGACTGCAAGCAGATGATTATGTGGGCAGCAGAGTGCAGGATAGAATTTAAAGGAGAGAAATTGGAGTCAGGTGAGCAATTAGGTTAAAAATCTCCAGACACTGGGTCTCTGGGCTGTGTGGTCAACACCGGGGCTGCATGAGCTATGTTTATTTTGTCACATTTCCAGCCCTGGGAAAAATCAATCTTGAACATACGTTAGAACATAGAATGAGTACCTTGACTAATACTTTCTGTAGTGATTGTAAATTTATAACTCATTTACTTCACTTTTGCTTTTTATCACTGATAGCATTTTCCTCCAGCATTTTCCAAATCAAAAATAAATCCTTTAACTTCACAAATATAAGGAAAATTTTCTTCATTTTCCTCCTTCCCAAGATGTTGACACCTGAGTGAAGATAAGCATCTGGTTCCTCCATCCTCTGGGTTTACCCTAACTTCTGAAATGCCTTGCAATCTTTCCAGGCCACTGGGAATTCTGTGTCAAAGACACTGATTTTTCTGGCCTTTTCTTTAATGTGTGTTTGTTTGTCACACTGTTACTCACTGGTGATGATCACAGAACTTGGCATTATACCACGGGTGGCAGGATAGGGGGCAGATCTCTGTATTCTGAATTCTTGAGAACCTAGATCTTTGGTCCATTGTTCCTTTTAGAATGAAGGAAATGAGAAGGTGTGGGAAAGAAGAAGACCTCAGGTACTATCCCTGGCAAAAATTATAGTCAGTGTGCACTATAGGTTCCCTTGGCCTCTCTGATTAGCCATTGGTCCTGTGCCACTCAAATGTCACATCGGACATTTTGCTATAAGAAGGGTCTACAATTTCCCCCAAGTTTTTATATGTTTGACTTTCAATAAGCTGGAGTTTAGACAAATTATTATTATTTTACATCTTACCTTAAAGTGGCAAGATGAGCAAGTAAAATTTTCTGTCATCTTCTTGATTTTCCTCCCATTGAGTGAGTCTCTCCAGGACAAGGGAACTTCCTTTGCGCTTTGAACTGTGCTCTTCTCTGTCCCATGTTCCTCCATGCAAGCTCCAGTTTACAAGAAAATCATGACATATACCCCCCCAATTGTCTATCTCAAAAATGCATGGCTTTTGCAAACAAATGTGCTTGCTTAAGATTTTCATCTTGCTAAAGTTCTTTAGAATTCTATTTGAAAATTCAAAGCCAGCTGATGATTCTATTCTTTGTTCTCAGTTGAGTTTGTTCTCCCAAGAAGCAATGGATGCTACTGACTTAATGAGTTGGAAAAATCAAGGAAAACAAGTAGGAACTTGGAGATATTATGAATCTAGACAAATTATTTTAATGCTTCTAATATTACACTCAACATGATTCTCAAGTCCTCTTTAGAATATTTCATTTTCAGAGGTTGCATTTTATTTGACCCATTCTCAAGAGTTTCAATATGAATAATGAATTATCCTTTCGGGTATAACTTTTTCATTGCTTCAGAGAAATGAGAATAGGAATCAAGATCATAGAGCCTTTCCCACTAAACAATTCAAAATATACTGAATGAAAATAGACTTTTTCATGCTTAATATATGGAGAAATTGCTAAACAGAATATATTTTGTAACATGTAAAATTATATCTATCTTTAAACCCATGGCCAAAATATCACATCTTCAATTTTCATAAAAATGACAGTCCAAATTAAAATATTTACATCATTTTAAGTCTGAAAAATTCCCAGGTCATATCCTAAAGAGCAATACATATTGAGGCCGTTATAACCTTCCCTCCTTGGGAGAGACACTAAATCAAAGTAGGAAGTCTAGTTAAAATAAATAATAAAAGCCAAAAAGTACAAAGCACATATTACACATTAGGAGCTTCAAATATATGTAGACACTTCAAAAAATTGTGTAAAATGGAATTAGCTATGATTTTATTTTGGCACACACAACTTAAAAAATCTACAATCGACTACATACATTTTTCCATGAAATTTCTGAAGACCTCTCATATTATCTGTTATTCTTCACTGCAATTTTTAAGGCAAACATACTATCTTGATTTTACAAATTAGAAAATAGAGGCATAGAAATTCTAAGTGATGAGTTACACATAATTTGAACCCAGGCAAACTCACCCCATAGTCTTTGCCTCTATCCATTATGCTGGACTGCTGAGTTGGTAAATAAAATGTAAAGGCAGTGAGTTAATATGTAAAAACAGAAGAACAAGGCACAAAGTACTCTGCCATCTTTATCTTTACAAGGACAAACAGAGGGACTGAGATTCCATATTAGAATTGGCATGCACAATAATCCCCAGAACCATATGTTTCTAATGACCTGATCACTGGGTCTTTCATTTCTGATCATTTGACATTTTAAAGCATGAATCATCTAATGAAAAAATTACAGGGCTTTCTTTTGAACACATTGTTTATTTGTCACCAAGCGATCTCAGATACTCTTTAAACAAATTCCTTCTATAAAGGAAAGACTACATACCCTCATGAATGGCATAATCCAAAAATAGAAATTATTTAAAACAGCTCTAACACCTTTTCTAAATTTCCTACATTGTGAAATGACAGCAGTGTCTCCTTTTCAACACTGCCTTCTAGTCAATGCAAAAAGAAATAAACCATCCCCACATGCTCATATTTGGTGTTTACTTTTCCATCAGTCATCTGAAATGGGACACAGGAAAAAGGATGTGTCTGTCTCTGTTAGAAAGAGAAGAAAAATGAGGGAAAGAAAACCTAATGCAACAGGAGAGTTGCCAGATTTGGAACTGATTGAAAGAGTTTTGTGTCACCAAACATTTTTCAAAGACCTATCAATCTGCAGCTCTTTTTATAAACCAACCTGTAATGAGTGGTGTTTCCACACATTTTCTTCACACAGTTGTTTCTGAATTTGGCAGTGCCTTTGATTTGAAAAAGCATTTCAAACTTTAGATGATCACACAAAACCTTTTTGGCATCATGGAAAAGAATATTTAGATCATAAAGACTTAAAGAAATGTAAGCTAGAGTCCCAAGTAGTTTAAACTTTCATTATAGAAATGCTGAAAGCCACATTGCTGTGCTTACAAACATGTTTATAAGTGGTGCCATTTGTAACTCTACTTAAATAAGAACTGGAAAGATATAAGAAAGAAACCCCTGGATTAAAAAATTAATGTTAAATGAAAAGTATGAATTCTACAGTATATCAAATACCAAGATAGATCCAGACACCATCATAATGTTCCTAATCACATCTTCTGGCATCAAGAGAAAACCATCTTGGAAACAAACAACAAATCCTTAAAATAACAGAAAGGTGCCAGCACTAACAGTGGTATACTGAGTACTCCCTGGGAAAATTCAAAGTAGAGTAATGAAATTTGTCACCCGCTGACTGGTTTCTGCTGCTTCAGAAAACAAAAAGCTTGGAAGATTAGGGTTCAATGTGTACGGCCAGAAGGGAACAGAATCCCTAACTGCAAAGTAACTGACACCATTATAAACACAAATCTCATCCTCACTCCTCTTAGGCTCCACCCCTTCCTAACCTACTGGTTCTCAAAGTTTTGCCCTTTAGCAACAACAACAGCAACATCTTGTTAGAGATACATATTCTCAGCCACCACCCCTCCTCAAAGCTAATTTAATCAGAAGCTCAGGTAGTAAAGCCCAGCAATGTGTGTTTTAAAAAATCCTAAAGATGATTTTCATTCACCTTGAAGTTTGAGATGCATAGTCTTAAATAAAAGTACATACTCAGCAACAGGAGACAAGTTCCTGTTCAACCTGAGAATACTAATAGCAAAATAGGTAATAGTTATGGAAGGCCTACTACGTGAAAAGTCCTCTATACAGCATAATACTTATATTTTCTTATTTATAAATAAATTATATTTATTATATTTGCCATAGCAGAGAGTTGGACTAGAAGAGGAGCAACTGGCACTGCTGGACTGGAAGAGGAGCAACCGGGACTAGAACCAGTGCCCATATGGGATGCCAGTGCCGCAGGCAGAGGATTAACCTAGTACACTATGGCACCGGCCCTTTATGACAATTCTATAGCTACCAAATATAGGCAACCCATTAGTTAACAGGGCATTATGAGAAGAGTATATTTCACAAATGTACATTAACCAGAAAATTCCCGAGAGGCCTTAAAGGAGAATATTTTCAGACCTTTAAAGCTACTTTTACTGGTAAAAAAAAACTTTATAAATACAAAATTCTGCGTTATGGCTTGGTAGTATGAACTCTTTATTTAGTGGAGGGTTCAGTTTATGATTTTAAAGAAAACAAACTATGTCATTGTAAAAATGAAAAGATAAACAAGAAAAGGAGAAGGAGGGAGGATGGAGGTGAGGGAGGGTGAAAGAGTAGAGTAGGAAGTATCACTATGCTCTTTTTTTTTTTTTTTTTTTTTTGACAGGCAGAGTTATAGACAAAGAGAGACAGAGAGAAAAGTCTTCCTTCCGTTGGTTCACCCCCGAGATGGCCACTATGGCTGGCGCGCTGCGCCAATCCGAAGCCAGGAGCCAGGTGCCTCACCCCACCCCCAGGTCCTCCATGAGGGTGCAGGGCCCAAGCACTTGGGCCATCCTCCACTGCCCTCCCAGGACACAGCAGAGAGCTGGACTGGAAGAAGAGCAACCGGGACCAGAACCTGGCGCCCATATGGGATGCCGGCACCACAGGCGGAGGATTAACCAAGTGAGCCGTGGCGCCAGCCCCATATACTCTTAAAACTATACATGAAATACACGAAATCTGTTCCCTCTAAATAAATAAAAGAATAAACAAAAATTTATAAAATTAATCTTGAAAGACTGACAGGTCAAAGTCTGGTTTTGCATGAATCAATTTCCCAAATTTGTTCTATTCTACTATCCTTTATTATGGTTCAGAATGGGAGCTGGACGGAGCACAGCTTTGTTGGCAGATGTTACAACCAGATTGTCCGAACGCTAACACATAGCACAAATACTGTTTTGTCCACTCCTGCTCACTTATGTAATTAATGGATAGTCTTAATTTTAATATACAGAACTTTAAGAGAATTCAAGATATAAAACATGTTCATGGGGATTGGGATTTAACCTGACAGTTAAAACACCTACTTCCCATATTAGGATACTCAGATTTAATTCCTGGGTTCAGCTCCTGACTCCAGCTTCCTACTAATGCAGACCCTGAAGCAGCAGTAACAGTTGAAATGACTGGGTTCCTGCCACCCACATGGGGGACCTGGATTGGATACTTGGCTTCAGGCTCTGGCTCCCAGCACAGCTGGAGCCAATGTGGCCATTTGGGAAGAGTGCTGGTAGATGGGAATTTTTTTCTTGCTCTCTCTCTCATTAGTTCTGTCTGCCACTCAGATAAATTTTAAAAGTTAAAAATTAACATGCTTTGGGGCCGGTACTGTGGCATAGCGGGTAAAGCCACCATCTGAAGTGCCAGCATCCCATATGGGTGCCAGTTCAAGCCCTGGATGCTTCACTTCCAATCCAGCTCTCTGCTATGGCTTGGGAAATCAGTAGAAGATGGCCCAAATCCTTGGGCCCCTGCACCCACGTGGGAGACCCGTAGGAGGCTCCTGGCTCCTGGCTTCAGACTGGCATAACCCCAGCCACAGCAGCCAATTGGGGAGTGAACCAGTGGATAGAAGACCTCTCTCTCTCTGCCTCTCCTTCTCTCTCTCTGTGTAAATCTGCCTTTCAAATAAATAAATAAATCTTTTTAAAAAATAACATGCTTGTATCTAAGTTATTAGATGTCAGATACAATGACATAAATAGTTCTTTTTGATCCTCTATTTACTTACGTAATGCTGTCACCTCTTTTTGAGTAATCCAGGTTTAAAACTATTGTTTTTTGAGGACCATCTTTCCTCACTCTCTCATACAAGAACTCACCAAATCCTAACATTCTTTTGTTCAGACTTACATCTATGTCACATTCTCCCCTTTCTAACTTCTCTCTTTTCTCAGACCCTCATCATCTCACCCTAGTTTACAGCAATGGTCTCCTCCTTTTCCCTTATAACTATCATGGACACCATAGTCAAATAAAGTTATTTTCACCATGGTGGGTTTTTTTTTGTTTGTTTGTTTTTGGGTTTTTTTTTTTTTTTTTTGACAGGCAGAGTGGACAGTGAAAGAGAGAGACAGAGAGAAAGGTCTTCCTTTGCCGTTGGTTCACCCTTCAATGGCCGGCGTGGCCGGCACGCTGAGGCCGGCGCACCGCACTGATCCGATGGCAGGAGTCAGGTACTTATCCTGGTCTCCCATGGGGTGCAGGGC